GAGAAGGGTGTTTCTTATGTTATCCTCTCTATAACTACACCAAACCCTTCTCTACGATTTGTTTTCCTGTTCCTGATTGAACATGACATTAAGTGGACACAAGAGACATTCTAAAAGACATTACCCTAAGAAACACCATTGTCTTCCAATCTTCAAAACACACTGAACTGCATAAATTTTTACTTATATCTACCAGGAAAAGATAGGTATCATTTCCCTTAAATGAAAGAGAAAGACAATGAAAGTCAGCTGTGTCCATTGACTTTCCCAAAGTTGCTCACAAGCCAGTAGCTGAGTTGAGAGCTGGATTCAAAGTTCTTCATGTTCCACATAGTCTCACTTCCTTACATTGAAACTTAATTTTATTTATCTCAATCTAGAAAACATTAGAAGCTCCATGAATTCCAAGTAAGTTGTGATTTTTAAGAGTTTTATTTTAGAATTCATTCCAGTTTTTTTCTAACATAAAAATCATTTATTCTTTCAATATATGCTCATTAGAGCTGAAGGAAACTATAAAGAACACTCAATAAACAAATGTTATTTTGTTATATTAGTGGCAATACCATACTTGGTTCCTGAGATACAAAAACCCATGGGTTATAATCAGTGACAGTAAATAACTGGTTAAAATGTTTGTTATCGGCATCTGAAGAAGAAATGATTTACTAGAACTTTCAGTGTACAAGTGCATGAAACTTCTGGGGAATAAGTGATTAACACACTGCAGATTTGGGGAAAGATATAAGCAGGAGGAAGCATCATATTTGAATTTGTTTTGTTTGTTTGTTTGTTTGTTTTTCAAGACAAGGTTTCTCTGCATAGTCTTGGTTGTCCTGTAACTCATTCTGTAGACCAGGCTAGCCTCAGACTCAGAAATCTGCCTGCCTCTGTTTCCTAAGTGCTGGCACTGGCCAGCCATAGTTGATTTTTTTAAGTGAGTACGTATTTGCCAATGGAGAGAAAAAGAAAGGTATGGTTGAATAAAGGAATAATATAACTGAAGATTTGGGAAAAAAACAAATACTATCATGGTACTTGTGACTCTAAATGATGACCAAGAGGAGGGAATTGCTGACTCATATAACTTCTATGTCAAGTGACTCAAAAGAGTGTGCCCATAACTGAAGCAGATACTTGCAGTGACACACCTTTATACTAGCTGCTGTGTGAAGGACAGAACTAAAAACAAGAAAAAAGGTGGAAGATACCATAGTGAGTCAAAGTTAACCTGACAATGCTATTCATTTTTATAGGCACTTTCCTGTTCTCTCAAGATGAGAAGCCAAAGGAAACTAGTTGAGAATAATTTGCATTCATTTTTGCACCTGTTTCACATGTTAATTCTCTATTGACTTCCTTTTCTCTAAGTTTTATGGTCAGAATGAGAAACTATCCTGATATGGACATAAATTCTTGTGGCAGTATCAAAACCAATTCTTGTCTTCAAAATAAGCCCCTCATTTTTCTGGTCACTGAGACTCCTGTAATAATTGGAGTCTAGAATGCAGTTGATCACACTCACTTCTTTCAGGTATCCTACTTCAAACATACATTCAATAAGTATTTATTGGGCAAGTGTTCTATAACTGCAATTATATCATAATCTTCAAACACAAAAAATCTCTCCTCGGGGTTTTGTTGTTGTTGTTGTTTGTTTATTTTTGCTAACTGTGGTTGTACAAATTAAGATACATGGGACTGGGATGATATAGATTATTGGGAAGAAATCACTTGCATGAGAAACCCAGAAGCCAGGACCAGCTGCCCTCTGTGACCTGACCAGAACCCAAGAAAGTGCAAACCTGTCCCTGACTCCAGACCATATCCCATATGCTGGCATAGGCACCTGTGACCAAACCCAAATGGGCGTGCTCAGCATCACAGGTGCATCTGATAGACCCCTCACTACAGCTAACATTTGACATTTGTCTATAAATCTCTGCGCCATAGCTTCCAGACTTTAATTCCCAAAGTTTCTATCCCTGTGACCTCCTCATCAGAAACTGGGCCATTATCTGTACATCAGATCTCTCAAAATTCTTGTGTTTCCCTAGACAGAGTTTGAAGGTTCCAGGATGCCTTCTTCAGTTGTGGATCAGAGGCATGTACCACAAACTCAGTGTAGAGGATAATGATACTATCCAAATGCAGAGATGAATTTCCACTGGCCTTGTGGAAATAGGTAGGGCATAACCTCTTCTGAAGGAAGGTAAGTGGGAAGCAGCACTAGACATCTGCCACTTGCCATTTAGCTTTTGTCTGTGTGACTCCCAAGTCATAAGGCCTCATGATTACATGCTTCCCCTTTCCTCTCTTCTATTCTCTATGATCCCATATCTTACCTTAATCGCATGATCTTTCCTTGACAATAATGTCATGTATCTATTCAAGTGGAAATATATTAAGAAGTATTATAAAAATTTTGTTCATAAAACAATGGTCAAGTTTCAAGTTAATCAGAGCTGATTTAACATGGCCATGAATGAGGTATTTAAAATACACACTCCAGGACTCCATATGCAATTTCTAGTGCAATTGTAATGCCACAAATAGAAAAACTACTTATGAGCAATGGAAGGGACAGTGGTTTACTCCTAGCTGTAGACAACATAGAAATATTGCTTAAATGCTAGCCACATATTTCTATGTTGGCCTAGAAATATCTCAGGATATTGGAAAGATGGTATCTGTCTACATTTCAAAATCTGTACTGAGCATCCATCTGTATATATAAATCATAAATCCAGATTATACTTATAGTACTTATCTGAAACCATGGTGGTAATCCTCTTACTCAACACTACTCTCCTACTACCAACAACTCATCTTACTGACACAAAGTGTGATTTCAGAGAAATTTGCTTTTCAACAAGGTCAAAAGTGAAGTTTCTGCTTTCTTCACCCCCAATCCAGCAATGAGATCCATGATAAGTTAGAAGATTACAGTTTAGATGGAAAGCAATGAAAAATGAAGCAGAATCTAGACATTTCAGCTAAAGCATTAAAGACAGACATATTACACATGTGAGAGAATTTTTAAGTTAAACTCCTTCTGGATGAAGTGTGATGTGTGTTTCCCGAAGCACCTGCCACATTCAGTTGTCATTAGAGTGAATTCATTAAAGAGAAGAACAATCCCCAGGGCAAGAGACTCTTTGCATGAATTAGGTGTGATGAATGAAATACACATATGAGAAATATCCATCATACAGCATCGAAATATGAAGTTACTGCAGTTGTTTGAGGGAGAAAGATCCTGTAAGAATCTGTGACTCTGTTTCTATGTCCTAAAGAAAACACCTGCACATGGGAATATCAGTAGTCCAGAGGTGAATACCAGCTAAGTCCTCCACTGGCTAGTAAATGCTTAAGCAAACCGTTATCTAAAAAGCAGTCCCCAAAGTAATCCTTGAATTTTCTTCAGAATGATTGATCAAAGCACAATTTAACCAGCTGATTGCCCTGACAACCCAAACTATCCACCCCCATAGATTCATAGACTGGGACTGTTTTCCCACTATGGTTTTAATAATAATTATTTCTTTTTTATTAAATTATTTCAAATGGTCTTCTGGGAAGTTGGTTCTGTAATTTTAAGAGCTTTCAAACTAAGGGCACTAGGAATTTTGACAAGTAACACAAAGGATGTTGTTCCATCTCTTTCTCCCCCATAGGACAAGATTATTGTAGCCCTGTATGCCCCAGCCTAGTGTCTCAATTTCCCATGTTGTCAATACCAAGTTCAGATATCCTAGATCATTTAAAAACATTAACTGTAAAAAGTAGCTAATCCTAACTTATGTCCTGAGTTTTAAAAATGGTCTATTTTCTGTGGAATATAACATTTTCTCCAAAAAAGGCTTAAAAATAAAGATATCCACTGTGGTCCTGAACCCTCATTTCAGTTAACCCTACAAAAAATATGTTTATCATTCTCAGCTCCACTAGTAATCTTTTATTAGGTTCCAGACACTACACCTAGATATGCAAAGAAATACTCCTAAAACACATAAATATTACTCTCTCCTGAGGCTTACAGCCCAGGGTGGATATAGAAATTAAAAAAAAAAGAATTGGATTGCCATGTACGTATCTAGATGATGGTAGCAACGCATGTACAATGAAGTTCTGAGAAAGAGAAAGGCATTATAGAGATGGGGATGCTCAAACGAACCTCAGTGGAGGAATGGGCCATTGAAGCAGAGGAGTATCTCTTAGAATACTAGCAACAAAATTACAACAGGTACCATCTGTCCACAGGTTTGGGTATTTTACTTTGAGCAGTTATAACAATATATCATAATGAAGGTAATTTATGAATGATAGAAATTGATGCTCTGTGTTTGGGAACCTGGAAGTCTGAGGTTAGGGTATCAGCATGGCTGGCTCTCAACACTGTCTTCTTTCTGGTAGCAGACCACTGACTTCTCATTGCAATCTCAGATGGTAAGATGAGGATCAGAGAAATCAGTGCGGTAATTTTTATTACTTTTACAAGTCTGACAAAATGTCTGATAGAATCACTTTATAAAAGGAAAGTTGTTTTTCAGTTCATGTTTTAAAAGGTCAGTCCACCACTACTTAAGTGGTGAATGAGATTGCAAAACAACTCATATTATGATAGTACAGAAAACAGAAAGGAAGGACAGAAGTGTTTGGGATGTTACACACTAAGGACCTACCCTCAGTGGCCTACTTCCTCCAGTCATTGTCTACCTCCAAAAAGTTTCTGGAACCTCTCAGAAACAGGACCACTTTCTGAGATCCACACTTCAAAATGAAATCTTGTAAGCAAACATCCCTCATTCAAACCAAAACTACTCATGATCTCATTTGCAGGATGTCTACACTCAAACTAATAACATCCCAAAGGACTCACCTCTGGCTACTATCATATTGAGGGCTAAGGACTTTAACACTGGAATTTCAAGAGAGCTGAAGTTCCGTTGCAGCACAATCAACACTGGATCTTGGCCTGTCCTCCCTAAGCCCCAATAAATTTTTCACCCAGACCTGTCTTATACATGGGTTCCCCTGCAAGGAAGCACTGGTATGGATAAGTCTAACATGTTTAAGAGTTCAAAGCTCAAATTGCTGTTGTCTTAGTTAGTCTTCAACCTAATCCCACTCTTTCTTCAGGGGCAACTGCTCTCAGTTCTTATGGCTGAATATAATTATCTTTACCTTTATGTTGAGCTTTCTCTATTTCTAGGATATTGTTTATATCTGGTCTTCTCCATGGATATACTATTTTTGGTTCAATTCTCAGCACAGGTCTCCAACACACAATTATATCAAACATAAACACAAAGATAAACACACAAATAAACACACCTGCATATGTCATTACTCTCTTCTTTCCAACATAAGTAAGCATATTACATTATTATAGCTACGATAACGCTATACATAGATTGTAATAACCTGGGTAGCAGTTATTAGTTATCTTTTCCTGAAAAAAATGTTAACTTAGGTAGAAGATTCAAAAAGATCATCTCAAACTGGCTAGAGCTTGCACATATACATATGAACATATATACAATGTATGTTGAGCAAATCCATATGGCAGTTGTTTTAGTGTTTCTATTGCTATGAAGAGACACCATGACTATGGCAACTCATTCATAAAAACATTTCATTGGAGGGGGAGGTTTACATTTCCAGAGGTTTAGTCCATGACAGTATATAGGCAGATAAAGTGTTGGAGAAGGACCTGAGAGTATTACATCTTGATCTACAGGCAACAGGAAGTGAAATGAGTCCCACATTAGGTATAGCTTGAGCAAGAGTACTCAAATGCCTCCCACACAGTGACATACTTCCTTCAACAAGGCTACACCTCCTGAAAGTGCTACTCCCTATATGCCAAGCATTCAAATACATGAGTCTATGGAAGCCATAGCTTTCAAACCACCATAGTGGCTTCCACTCCATTCTAACTTCTCCCAGATCCTCCCAAACCACATACCCCTCCAAATTTCATCTCTTTCCATTTTTTAATCACTGAGTACAAGTGATGCTGTGAAATTATACATGGGTATAAGATTATCCACTGGGACCGTGAGGGACCTACCTTGAAGTATATAAGTATGAATGTTATGGGTAAAAAACTAACTAAAACAACCAAGTAAATCATTTAACACCTACTATCTAGGACAAAAACTCATTTATCTTATACTCTTAACTTCACTACTTATAGATGTGCAAGTGAATGCATTTCCCTGCCACACATGAAGACTATAATGCGACATCTGTTTTCTGTATTATATAAGCACCAAGCCAATACATTTGTAAATCAAACTCAGTTTCCCCCTCTCCTCTTCCTCATATCTTTTGGGACTCCTGTGGACATATGTATAAGCCACAGAAGAATCTCTGTATAACTCAAGTGGCTATCTTAGAGATGTATGCTGTCAGCTCATGATACATAACTCTGCTTTTGTATTCCATCAAGATGTGCTGCCCCCAACTTGGCATAGAAAGTTGTAGACTTTATTTGATTTTGAGACTTCATAAATGCAACAAACTTCAACTCACAGTGGTAAGTTCTGAAAACAGAGTTACAATGGCATCTAAATCTTAGATAATGAATATTTCTTAAAGAAATTGTATTCTAAGAACTCAAATAGCATGAAATCAAGTTTCATGAGATTGGTAGTCTTTCTTCAGAATCTGGATAACACAAGAACCTGCCACATACCCGTAGTTTGTATCTGCCCATTACTTGTGCTTCCTGTGTCATAAAACATACAGTTATACAATACAACAGATCTCCATGCTGCATGCCTAACGCTGTGTACTGCTTTTTGTTGTTCTAGGTTGCACTCAAAGATGGAATGGTCTATGTTGTCCTATCTTCCTTGCTATGATACCATCAGAAAATAAGTAAATGCCAAAACATTCTCCATGTATTCTCCCCTAAGCAGGTAGCCCCAGCCTGATTTGGCCAGTAGATAACACTACTCAGTCTTTCTCCTTTACATTCTATTCTCTCTGCATCTTCATATCTTCTTCTTTCTAATTTAATTAATATCACTTCATTTTATTCAGACATCATTCTTACTAAGGATTCACTCCAATGATTCTACTGATATCTCTCTGCAGAAAAACATATTTCTAAGTAAAGTCACATTCTCTAGTATTGGAACTATAATGTATCTTTTTTTGAGGTGGGGTAATACTCAAATCAACACCAGAGAGATTAAAACATAAAGCCACTTGTCCTTTGCTATGGATATAATATGCAGTTAATCACCTGACAACTCCAAATTGCATGGAAAGGAACAGAAGTCCTAAGACCAACACCAACTTGCCAGTCATGAAAGAGAGAATTTGAGAAGGATCTTCCATCCCTTAGGAAGTCTTCATATTAGACAATTGGAATCAACAGATGACAACAAGCTCTTAAGACAGCTTAAACACTATGGTACATCCAGCTACTCATTCATCTATACTCACAAAAAAACATGAGAGATTTTGCTTTACTTAAGTGTTAGATCACTGTTTTTACAGTGCAAAACAATTAGTACAACTTAGGGTTTTGCTTGCTTGTTTGTTTGTTTGGTTGGATGGTTTTGGTTTTTTGCAACAGGCTTTCTCTGTGTAGCCCTGGCTGTCCTGGCTTACCTTGTAGACAAGGCTAGCCTCAAACTCAGAAATCTGCCCATCTTTGCCTTCCAAGATTCAGATTAAAGACATGTGCCACCACTGCCCAGCTACAACCTAGTTTTGAACTTAAAAAACTCCCACAAAATAGAAAGTTATTTATTTTTCTATTCTGTTGATTATTTTGTTGATACCACATTTCTTCTGTCTTCCTTTGATAAAATTGTTGATAGCATCTTCAAATTTTTTCATAAAAAGAATCCTTTCTTAAATATGCATTATACACATATGCACATATGTATGAATACAAGTATGTGTGTGTTTACACATATTCAGACATTCACTTACTTCTTTTGTCTTTATGTATTTACTTATAGACTCGGGTAATGCTGGGTTATTTGATATTTGGTATTTATAGTATTTACTTATTTTATGTGTATGTATATGTTCTTGTGTAAATGCATGTATAACATGTATAGAAAATACAAATGCCTGAAGAAGACATCAGGATCCCCTGGAACTAGAATTGCAAGAGGTCGTGGGCTTCTGTGCAGGGTACAGAAACAGAATATAGGTCCTCTGAAAGAGCACTAAGCCCTTTTAACTACTTGCCCATCTTTCCAATCTATATCTGATGATATTTTAAGCATGGCATTTAAATTGGGGTAGAGTGTTTTCAGCACATTAGGAAGGAGGTTGCTAATCCTGCTTTGAACCAGTGACAAAACCATTTACAATGTTGGTTAAATTTACGCATGAATAATTATGATCTTAAAGAAAATACAGGCATATAAAAATTACTCAAGCTTATTTTGCAATTTAATTAGAAAGGTTAAGGTGAAAAACTAGAAAAATTTGAAAACTAAAGTAGATGAGAGACTTGTCATGATAAAAGTATTAAGCTATATTAAAAGGAAACAAAATTAAAATAGTTTTAATGTGCTAATAAAAAGATATATCCATGCATCCTAAAATAAATCTACATATAGAATCAAACACATATGGTAATTTAATATATGATAAATTTAGCATTTCAAGTCAAATGGAAATTATGAACTACTTAATAAATTGTATATGTGATAATAGATTGCCATCTGGCAGAAAATAAAGTAAAATCAAACCTCTTGCTCTGCACCAAAATATATTTTATATTAATCAAAATTCTTCGCACAGAAAAAAAAAACATAAAGACTAAGGAACAAAAATAAGTCTCATAGTAAAGACATTTTTAGGGGTTTCTAAAATGCAGAAGCCATAAAAATGCAATAACCACATACATAAAACAAAATGTGCTTAGAAAAAGCCACTATAAATAAAATTGAAAGAAAAATGATAAAGACTAAATGGAGATTTTCAACTTATTCCACAAATAAAGTTCTAGTGTCTTTTCAATAAAGAAAATAAAAACAGCATTCCTATAGAAAACATGGCTGTGGGCTATAAGCTCACTCCATTCACAGAAAAGTAATTCAAAATGCCTCTTGACTGACTAAACAAGAATACATTAACTTCACTCATTATAAGAAAAACTGCAACTATAATAAAAGAAAATCTGCTTTTTTAGAAACCTGCTACATTAGGGAGAATAAAATCAAAATGTATTTTACACAGATACAGGGGATTGAACTTAGGTCCTTACAATTGCAGAACAAGTTATTAAATACTGAGACAGTCCTGTGCCTTCATTTTAACCCAGATTATGTTCTGCACATGCACAGTATATTACATGTTCAGTAGTGTGGATGTAAAAGAGCAAATGTGGAAGAATATCTTTGTAGTCTTATGACAGTAGAAGGACAGCAAGAAATAAACAAAGTCAAACAAGATAGAATTGGGTAAGTCAGTCATGATTCAACAAGTCAAGCCAAAATAGAATGACTAGAATGAGGCCTTGCCATTTTGTAGTAATGTAGATGAACCTGCAATCATTAAACTAAGTAAGCTAGATGTAAGGAGACAAATCTGTAATTTCATACATAAAGGAAACTTAAATGACAGAACTCATAGAAGTAAAGAACAAAATAATAGTTGGCAAAGTCTGAGCAGAATAGAAGATGGATAGATACAGAGGAGGGCTGAGTTCAAAGACACAAAATCATATCCAGAGAAGATGTGATGGGGGAAGTTCTTCTGTGTATATGCTTGTCTAATTGGTTGATAAATAAAGCACCGTTGGCTGATGGGGGAAGTCTGTCTGTGTATATGTAAATAAAGCACTGTTGGTCAGTAGGGAAGAAAGATAGGTGGGACTAGGAATTGAGCAAGATTCTGGGAAATGTAATCAAGAGTGGGGAGTCATCATGTGATCTCCTGGGATGAGAGGACACATCAGGAGGACATCCTCGAAAAGATAAGTCCTTATAAAAATATATATTAGTAATCATAGGTTAATAATTAATTCACAGTAGCCAACGAGAAACCATAGCAAACGGTCAACAACTTCATAATTAATATAGCGTCCTGTGAGTTCATTTGGGACTGAGGCAGCTCTGGGACCAGGCTGGCAGGAAGAATACATTACAGTTGGTCAATATAGAAACAAGACGCGTGGGAGTAGGAGTTGAGGAGGATTATGGGAAATGCAGTCAAGAATAGAGGGTTGCTATATGATCCTAGGAAGAGAGGACACATGAGGCTGTGTACTCAGTAAGATAAGACCTTATAAAAATATATATTAGTAATTATGGGTGAATAATTAAGTCAGAGTTAGCCATTAAGGAACCATAGCAAACAAACAACAGCTTCATAATTATACAGTGTCCCGTGTGTTATTTGGGGGCAGAGACAATGGTGGGATACAGCTTAAAATGGGATTTTAAAAACAAAGGAACAGAGGCAAGCACTGCTTCTTGGTAGCAGCATTTTCTCATAGGGGCTCTGTTTTACTAGAGACAAGCAGAGACTTGTGTGGTAAACTTATGCCCACCATGTTGGAAAGCCAGTGGCTAAAACAGCCCCCAGTTTAATTTTAACAATGTTGTTTAGCATATAAAAGACAAGTGGCTAGAAAAAAATAAACATTTACAGTAAAGACAGATTCAGATGAAGTAAAACATCTTAAAGGTTGACAGTGTGTTTAGAAATATGCGTAGACTTGGGAGAGAAAAAGAAACAAGATAGTGGTAAAGAAAAAAAAACAATGGAGAAACTGGGCTGTGGTGGTGCATTCCTTTAATCCTAGCACTTGGGAGGCAGAGGCAAGTAGATCTCTGTGATTTCAATGCTAGACTCATGTACAGAGGGAGTTCAACAGCAGCCAAAGTACACAGAAAAACCCTGTCTCAAAAAAGTAAAATTAAAAGTAATAAAAAAAAAGCCACATAAAAATGGAAAACACACACAGAGAGAGTCTGGATGCTATTGTGTTGTCTTTCAGTTGTTCAATTGCTAAGGAAGGGACAACAACTGCCAAACTACACTTGTTTATAAATGCTATTAAATTAATCCAACTTATGTATTTTAAAAATGCCTTGACTTCTAAATTTAAATATAAGGACAGGTTAATTGGGAAAAAAGTTTTTATTTGTGTTTCCACAGAAAATGAAAAGCTGTGGATTCCTTCCAGATTTTTATGGTTTGATGAAGCAAGACCCCGAAACAGTATCCCAAGTGATCCAGCATCTAAGACAGCTGAGATGATGCCGTCATGCAGACTACAAAAACGGACCTGGCCAGGTTTCTGTGTTTTTTATGATACCCATGGTATGGACAGTGCTCCCAACCAGCAGGCAGCAGTTTGGAATGAACAACACCCAAATTCCCAAATATTGTTTATAAATTTTTGTTTTCATTTAAATGGGGTTGCTTATAAATGGTAATGATCACAGTCAATCTCTTTCTAAAGGGAAAAAAGGGAATATGATATAGAAATGAATACTTTGTATTGGTATAGATTTTCATTTATTGATACAAAATTAAGATCTATTTCATGATATATATACACACATATATATATATATATACATTTCTCCTCTTGTGTTTATACAGGTCTTTTAAAATGAAATGTATAATTAAGTACAGATTATAGATAATTACCTATAATAATCAAAACTTATAGTTAGGTTAGTTAGGTTTTCTAGATATAAAGAGATATATTTGATATGGATAAATTTTCTTCAAACCTTTCAAAGACCTATAGAATATATCACATTTAAATGGTTTAAGGTTTTTCATGATAGTGAGACACAACTACTCCTGACACACCAATTACTTCAGAAGGGAAGATGGGCATCGAAGAAACTGATTATGGAGTTTGCTTTCAACATGGCAAGATTAGCCATTTGGGCAAGAAACTGCTCTTGCCTGGACTGTTTGAATGTTGCTGTATAAATTGGACATGTAAAACTCACAGAAAAGTGACTGTTAAACATACAAAACAAGATGAACAGTCCTACAGGGTTTGTGCTTCATGGAAGAGTCTGCCAGACATATTGCAAGACACAGAAAAATGACTGACAAACTGCCAATGCAGATGGACAGTTTAAAATTTTGTATCTTTTGATACCAACTCCGAAAGCAGAACTATTTCCCTTCTTTTGCTTCAATAGTAACTGATTTAATTATGTATATGACATACTCAATAAGCATCAATTCTTGACATGTCAGATCATACATAATAAAAGGAAGTTGTAGACTCTTCTTGAAATTTAGTAAATAATACATGCCATACCATAATACATCAATCTTCCCCCTCCCTCCCTCCCTCTCTTCCTCCCTCCTTACCTCCCTCCCTCCATTCCTCACTCTCTCCATTTCTCCCTCCCTTTCTGTTTTCCCTCCCTCCTTCCTTCCTTCCTTCTTCCTTTTCCTCTTACCCTCAATAAATGCTGGCTATTTCTTTTGATTTTCTGGCAGTTTTCAAAGTACTGAGGGTCCTATAGTCTGCCAAGTGTATGTAGCTGATAACAAAATTTACAATAATTAAAACATGTGCTGCATGTTTAGAAGATAAAGAATTCTCCATGTTAATATTTAGGCATTTCTTGGATTATTAGATTAGCGTCTCTTCATGATGGGCTAGTGCTAATTATATAATAAGCTAATTATGTCATAATATTGGGTTCATTGACTATTTACTACTCTTTACTCGCAAAGAGAGAGGAAAGTGAGCCTGTGTATTGACTGTATTAGCAAAATGAAGCATCAAAAGCCAGAGAATTCATCCAGAAGCATGGAAATAAGAGCTCAGGAACCACTCTCATCACCACCCTTCTTGTCTTTTCTCTGTTCCCTATTATCACTTCCCTATAATCTTTAATGTACTTTTGGGGGTACTTCTGCCTCCCTCTATTGAATGATTACATCCTGAACAATTTACAATGTTCTCTTGGGTTCAATGCACCCTAAACAGAAAAAAGGAGGTTCTAAATACTGTGTTCCATTAACAAATAAATATGGTACTCTTTAATAGGATGTAGCAGCATGACTAAAAGCAAGAGGAAAGAAACACAGTCATGGTAAAGTTACCTTTCCTGAGCAGTTTTTCACCAGAAGTGGGAGATGTTGCTCAGTCTCCATGAAAATATCACTGACATAATATCCATCTTAGCCCTGAAAACCAGAACAGAATGTGTCCACAGAGATTTCTATCAGCAGTGAAAAAGTCCAGGTGACAATGATCAGACTTCATTCACTTCATTCAGATGTGAGCACCAAGGTACACTATGAAAGTGACACTACTTCCACAATACAGTGCCTTGTCATCTAGGGAAACAGCAGAAGCAGGAAAGCCTCCCCCCCCCACAGATGCAGGTTGTTCCTGTAGAAGTGGAGCATCACAAGAAAAGCACCCTTGCCCCTTTTCCCAGGGAACAGATCATTATACCTAGAAAAGCCACCTTTCCCTGATCACCTGAAGACCTCTGTGTGACAGGTATCCTGACCTGTATGCAATGGTATGTACCAGAGAGAGGTCAAGAGGAATATGAACATATATGTCTTTCCCCAAGTTTATTGCCTTTAGAATGTAACCTTTTGTTTCAGGGTTGTACTTTCACAGGACTCTCAGAAAAATATAATCATCCTGTTTCCTTTTGTTCTTCATTCTTAAACTCTGATTTGTTTATCTAGGTAATCTCTTTTGCTAGGTATCCACCATAAAATCTGTGGTTTGGTGAGAAAAAGTATGTTTTCTTTTCCACAGAACCAAAAAATTTTCAGAACATTTCAATGAGCAGGAAGAGTGAAAACCTCTTTCTGTCACTTTTTTTAAGCATGAAGTTGCAGTATCATATCTGGTCTATCACTGGCCCAAAACTAATCACATCACTCAAGTCACTGAGAGGAGAGCTGGTAGACATTGTTTGTAATGGAAAATTGTGTGTACAATAGAAAATGAGGAAGCTAACGAAGGAAAGAACTAACCATAAATGTTACAGGACAGTTTGGGCAGAGTCACATTCATGAAAATGTAGTAAAATTTGCTATATAGGGATGAATTATTACGTTCTTGGAAAACTGGAGGAGAACTTCAGGAAACTACTTAGAATATTGAGTCTAGTATATAGGTTAGGATGGGTAAGGTACTCTAAAGGACCCTACTGGATGTGTTGACACCAGGGATGCCAGAGGCCAGAGAGATAAAAGAAAAATTTCAGAGCAATATCTGTAGGTGTCAGAAAGGGAGAAATATATAGAAAACCCTCAGGGAGTCTCAGCAAAGTGACAGAGAAGTTAGTTGGCCCAGAGGAAGTGATGGGAGGAGGTTACTTTTAATCACTGCTGTCTCCCAGCATCTTACTCAATGCTGTGTCTCAGAAATGGCTAAGGAGATGTGGAGTAAATTAAAACTTTGCTCTGTCCCTTCTCTTACGTCTGTGAGATTCAGACGGGAAGCCTCATTGAAAGGCTTTCTTTCATCCTGTGGATGCTCACAAAGCAGCAAAGCCCATCTTTGTAGGGATGCGTGAAAGGGAAACTTCAGGCATATAAAAGATACTGTGCTTCGAGAGAGATCAGCCCGAGGAAACTGCAAAGGCTTGTCAAGAGAACGAGATTGCTGGAAGAAAGTACATTAGAAAAAATACCGAACAATATTCTTAGGGAATACACACCACAATGACTAGGAAAGGCAGAATTATCTAAGATCAGAAAAGTATCCAAGAAAAGGACGTCTAAGATTGGGAAATTATATCTAAGAATTAGACATTTGCTGAATTAAAAACTACAGCATAAATAGTAACTAAGTGCATTAGAAGAAAAGAATGAAAAGGCAAAGTCATCTAATCGTCTATTTCCAGACAAAATAATGAAGAAATGAAAGAGATACAAGTGCAGATGAGAGGTAGATGTGTCCACTATAATGCTTTAGTTGTGAAAAGCACTCTAAAGATTAGTTTTATTAAAAAAACTATTTAAAAGTGAGAGATAATCTCAGACATAGCATCAATAACAGTTTTCACGGCTGAAAACTCAAGAAGAAACACCTCATCAAAATTAGGAGGATGAGAAAGAAAGACAGCAGGGAACAGATAAGACATCTTTTAGATGGGAGGGCAAACTACACTCAGGCAAGGTTGGCCTGGGTGTCCAGGGGATAGTCTGAGAAAAGCTGAAAAACAACTGTCAGAAAAGCACAGGACACCTTAAGCCTCCTGGGGAATGACTAGAGCCAAGGCAGTAGTGGCAGCGCAGGATAAGCTAGGAAAACCCATCTCCTCTTGGCAAGGGCTGCTTGGCACTGGCAGTGACTGAGCAGCGATGTCATTTCAAAACTTGAAATGATTAACTTTTTAAGGAGGGAGGGATGGGGAGGTGAGTAGAGGGAGACTCTTGCTACATGGTGACTTTGGAGCACCAGATATTCAGAGTCACACTCTAGGAAACGGGTGAGGGACTATGGTCTGACACCTGAAAAACAGAACTAACAGTTTACGGGTGTGGAAAAGGAACCTTGCAACAGGTCTGAAAAGCAATCTGATAGGAACTAAAGTTCACATTAGAAATTTCAAGCAGACTCCAAGCAGTGTCCTAGATACTTGCAAAAGCTAAACAGACACAGCCAGCTTCTTCCACAATTAGAACCCAGAAGGAATTCTCCGAAATGTGACCAAATATGAGACTACTCCTGTGAAAGACACTGTCTACTGACCGGGATAACACACAAAATCTGATCTATTAAAGGAAGGCCCAGAAAGGACAAGAGTTTCCATTGCAGGGAAACCCCAAACTTTGTGGAAGGAATGTGAGCTTCTGAACCATGACCAGTAAACAAGTCAATTAGTGCTGGCATCAGTCGTCAGAGAAGCTCTGTTTGCAGTGGGTTTCAGTCATTACAGACCTGAAGCTGGTGTGAGTTCAGAAAACAAACGAGTCTTTACGGATCAGCCCTAAAGGGTGACAGGAAGTAAATGCAAGGCAGCCTCACTCTATAAACAGCTAGTCACAGATACAGGCTCAAGGAAAACAAAAACATCCATACATGTTGTGGAACCTGTAGCTATCTACAGGAATGCAGAGGTTTTGCAATACATTTCACACAGCCTGTAAATGTACTTTACAAATCACTGACTTATCAGGATGCTGGATGGGTGTCAGCCATTGTTCTTTTACTGCCTCCTCCCCGCAGGAAATTTTTGGTCCTCCTTTCTCTTACCGTGGGCTCTATCCTGAGCCAGTGATCTTTCACATGATTCATCATCAACCAATCATAATTCCTTACTATGTTCAAGTTAACCAACCATATTTCTCCCAGC